ACTAAGGTGCACCTAATCCAGGCCATGGTCTTCACAATTACTTGTTATGCTTCAGAGAGCTGTATAATGACTAAGGATGACAGAAGAATTGATGCCTTTGAGTTGTGGTGCTGGAGAAACATCTTATACATACCATGGACTGCCAAGAAAACAAATAGGTGGCAAGGATTTTGAAGCTCCATCTCACATACTTTGGGCACGAGGCCAGGACAGAATGATCCCTGGAGAAGGACATCATGCTTGGAAGGGTGGCGGGACAGTGCAGGGAGAGAAGACTCTGGATGAAACGGACTGATACAGCAACTGGGGCAGTGGGGGTTGGTGTGTTGGAATTAGTGAGATTGGCTCAGGATAGGGCAGGGTTCAGAGCTGCTGAACATAGCGTTGCTATGGATCACAGGCGACTTGATGGTGCATAACAACAACAACTAAAGGCAAATTACGATGTTGGTGAAGAATATAAAACATATCATGGACAAAAGGAACAAATCTAGCTTGGAAGAAGCAGAGCTACAATGTTCCATAAAAGCGAGGAGGGTGAGACACTGTCTTATGGGCATGCTACCAGGAAGGTCAGTCTCTGGTTAAGGACACACTTGGGAAAATTATGGTCAACAATTAAAGAAGACTCTTAGCAAGGTGGATTTATACAGGCTACAACAATAGGCTCAAATAGAGCAAGAATTTGGAGGAAGGTGCAAGGATCAAATGGTGCTTCATTCTGTTGTACCAAGTGTCACAATGAGTCAGAAGTGACTTAATGGCACCTAAAACATACAAAGATAATAACATATAAAGATAATAAAAGTTATTTTAACATTTAATGGAAGTTTCTTAACAAGCAATATTTTATATTCAGGAAATCGAAGACATTTATTTTTCAGCCTCCAAACCATAATTATAAACCACAGAAGTTTTAAGATTTTCTTTACACTGGTTTTAAGTGAAGACAGAGTAGGAATCTGCTCCTTATTTGTTCAGATACAAAGTACTGGTGATGGGGAAAGAGTTGTAAATGTCAAAGTAAGAAAACAAAACAAGAGATTTCTCACTAGAAAGTCTGCCATTGACTAAAACAAAAATGTACATTTTCCATTTCTTGAGTAATATATACACTTCTAAAAAATTTTTGCCTACCCATACTCATTGCCATCAAGTTCAATTCTGACTCACAGTGCTCCTACAGGAGAGAGCAGAACTGCCCCCTAGGGTTTCCAAAGCTGTTATTTTTACAGAATGCCATGCCTTTCTTCCGCAAAGCCCTGTTGAATATCAATCGCTGACTTGTTCGTTAGTAGGCTAGTGCTGAAACACTGTGCCACCAGGCTCCTCTTAAAAAATTTGGCAGGTAATACCGAAACCTTTTTAAAAAAGGAAAAAATCACAAACCTATGCAAAAAGGATCTTACTCCTGTCTTCCAAGCATTCAATTCCTCTTTCCTGAGGCAACCTTGCCCGTCTTTCCATAAATATTGTATGGATACAGAAGTAAATATGTATGTGTCAGTTTCATTCCTTTACACAAATGGTAGTAGCATTCTGTACACACTGTTTTGTATGTTATTTCCCCCTCCCCTCCTTTGGCAATAGATCCTGAAATTCATTCCAAATGAATGCCTAATTCTATTCTGCCATATGGCCATTCCACAGTTTAATTAACCCATACTCTCTTAATGAGCATTTAAGTTATCTGGAATCTTTTGTTACTATTACTGATAGTAACAAAGGATTCCAGACAACTGATCACTCATGCTCACTGATACTGGTTCTGACTCCTAGCTATATTCCAAGGTTGTAAGTCACAACAGAAAGAAAACTTGTCTACCTTCTCCTGCAGAAGCACTTACGAACTTGAGTTGCCAGACACACACAGCCTTTGTCTACAGACTAAGTTGTGAGAGGCCTCTAGATAATAGAGGACATGTATCTACAGGTATAAATGTGTTACTAGGACAAACTCTCAGAAATGGAATTGACAGAGTAAAGGAAATATGCATTTTTAACTTCTAAGAGATCCTTGGTCAAAAATCTCCTAATGACAAACGTGTATGCAGGCCTGTTTCTCTAGACTGTCACCCAAAGCATGTCATCAAGTTTATCTGGGTTAGTCTCAAAAGTTCAAAATGGTATTTCAAAATATACCAGTAATACAGTAATTTGTGTTTTTTCTACTTCCTTTCTTAGAAACGGCCTGTTGACTGCAGAATCCTTTCAGAGCACACAATTCTAGGGACACATCTGCATACTTCAGTGGATCTTTCTTTTGAAGGGAAAAAAACTTATGTAAATAGCTTCCATTTAAACTGTCACTACAAAGAAGAATTCTGTTACCTGTAAAACGGACAGAAGTTTTAAAATGATCATCAAAATAAAAATGTTTTAAAAACTACATAAACAACTCCATGCTCTCATCCTCATTCCCTTCAATTTCTTCTAGTCTCTAGTTTTCTTAAAAAAATCTATTTTGCCAGAAACTTCAAGTAGAAATTTGTAATCATGAAATGATTCAAGTCCATTTTAGCAACTATTTACCCTTCCTTTTGCAGCCATACTTTTTTTAAAAAAGTGTACTTATTTATATATCATTAATTACCAATTTCCCCACAGCTTTCTTACGGAATTTATGAGTCCTGACTTGTATTTTACCCATTTATATGATCACTCATATAGGCATTATGCTTGCTAAGTGGCAGTCTTTTCCGGTTAAGCTTTTCATCATGAAGACTACACATCATCATCTTATTCTAGAAACCACCAGCACTTAGAACAAAACAAGGATTAGTATGTGTTATGTGTATGTATATGAATGCACATACAGGTGTTAATAGACAGATTAATGCGGTAAAGGAGCTGTGCTGCTAATGCAAAGGCAAAGGGGTCAAATTTGCCATTATTCTGAGGGAGAAAAGTGGGCAATCTATTCCTGTGTGATTTATCGACTTTGAAAACTCACTGGAGAGTCAGTCTGAATTGGTTGTGACCTGACCTTACATAACAACAATAACAGCTACAACATAAAGATTATTCATTTACTTAAGTGTATATTTCACTTCATTTCCTAGACTTTGTGATTCTTCTTTACTCTTACCCCATCATATCAAGTAAAATCTGCTGCATGGTCCATATAGCCACGGCTACATTCTGATATCACATTGTGCCACTATTATTGTTAATTTTTATTTATCTCATACCAAATATGAGAGGGTGGAGGGACAGCGCAGGAGAGGAAGACTCCGGATGAGATGGATTGATTCCGTGACTGCGGTAATGCGGTAGGTGTGTTAGAGACAGTCAAACTGGCACAGGATAAAGGAGGGTTTTGGGTTTTGGTACACAGGGTTGCTATGAGTTGCAGGTGACTCGACAGCACATAACAACAACAACAACGTACCAAATAAACCTCAGTTGTTTCTGCTTGTTTAATTTTATCTTAATCCCTGCCAAATGTTACCTTATTAGGGGAAGCTAGCTTTACCTATATTGCTATGAAATGAAATTGGCCTGACCATGTGAAATAAGAGTTTATGGAGTCAATTAGGATTTCTCTGGATTAGGTAGAGCTGAGAAGCCTGAGCTTAGATGCTGGACTTTCTGTATCTGAATGTGGATTCCATCCATACCTTACCTGCTATCCTATTTTGGGCAAGGGTAGTATTTTCTAATTGTCTTGGGTAGTATTTTCTAATTTCTAAAAAAGCAACTGTAACAGATGCGAATTAAAATAGTATTTTAAATTTTAATGTTTCTCATATTACAAATGAAATTACTAGCAAGAAATAGTATCATTTGTATTTACAGTTCCTTTCTTGGGAACTGCCTGTTGACTCCTGAACTCTTTAAAAACTGACAATAACAAAAATATGCATTGCTGGAGGAGGAGGAGGAAGAAAATGTGCAACAGTGAATAAAAAAAAAAATTCTAGATTTTTCTGAAATCCTTGTTCCTGAGTGCTGCATGGCATTCCACTGTGTGAATGAATGTACCACAATTTCTAAATCCATTCAGTTGTGGCTGTTTCCATGTTCTTGCAAGGGTGCATAACACTGCTATAAACATTGGTGTACAAATCTCTGTGTCTCAGTTCTAATTTCTTGGGATATATTCCTAGTAACAGGATAGCTGGGCCAAACAGAATTTCTATGTTCAACTTTTTTAAGGAAAAGTCAAACTTTTCCAGAATGGTTGCACCATTTTACAATCCCACTAACAGTGTATGAGAGTTCTCACCTCACCACATCCTCTCCAACATTTATTGCTTGCCACTCTACTAAACTTTGCCACTGCTACTAGGGTGAGATGGTATCTCACTGTGGTTTTGATTTCCATCTCTCTTATTGCCTGTGATTTGGGAGAGACTGGAGAGCATTATGCTGAGTGAACTAATGCAGTCTCATAAGGACAAATACTGCATAAGACCATTATTGTAAAAGTAGGAGGATAACTAGTAAGGCCATGTATGAGAACTCAAGGGGGGAAGGGGTGGGAGTGGAGAGATGAGGCTGGGTAGGGGTGGAACCACAGGTTGCACAGTTTGGTGGGGGAAGGGCAAAAGGAAATGGGAAAGATCCGGGTGAAAAAGACAGCGTAATGATAGACAAGGACCAATGATGATTAATTTTATAAAACATAACGCATGAAGAATAGTGTGAAACACAATGTATATGAACTTTGTAAGCAAACCAATAAAGTTTAGGGAGAGAAATCAATAGTCTTTGGTGGATCTTTGTTTTGAAGGAAAACAATTTACTCATGTAAATAACTCTCAATTGAAACCGTTAATGTAACAAGATAAAGTATGGTATCCAGCCTAAAGTTCATACAATTTTTGCTTTAAAGCTAGATTAATTTTCCCCTTCAGTTCATACAACCATCTTTCCTACCCACCTGTTCACTTAGTATTTTGACCAAATTATCACCCCCAATTTACTATCAACTTAAGGTAATTACAAAAAGAGTAACAACAAGTTTAGAATTTAAGCTTCTATATAAGAGAACTCACCTCTCAGTACCCACAGGGCACCATCCAGACTTCCACTTTTGAGAAAAACTTCTGCTGCAATATTCACAATTTGACATCTTGGTGCTAACTTCTCAGGACCTGTAAGTCCTTTTAAAGTTGTAAAATGTATTTTTAACTCATATAGTTTATCTAAGACTTTCTTTCCCTAGAGTGGAAATAAAGAATTGAGTCCCAATCATTAACAGAACTAGAAGCCAGTTACCCAGGGTTGAATCATTACAGATTGATGGTTTTAAGACTGCTCTAGCACTTTTCCTTAAGCTTTTCCTTGCTTAGATACAAAGATGAGAGGAGAGGGGAGCACATAGGGCTTTGCCTTTTATTATTCTCTTTCTGCCTTCATGCCTTGGCTCCCTTTATCAACAATAATAGTTCTTTCCTGTTTTATACACTGCTTCCCATATTAAGACTTCCTTTGGCAAAAGGATTGCATGCTACAGAGTGGTGAAGTGCTGATGACTTTTTGCTCTTTTGATGACTATGCTGACATCCAAGAGAAAAGAGACAATAGAAAGGAAGAGAATTTGTTTTTAATTTAGACAAAGAAGGATAGGTGATGTATTTTACATCAAGACTACCTTCAGTCTGGATATGTAAATTTATACTGAAGAGGTACAAAACTTTTTGTAAAGGGTCAGATAGAAAATATCTGTTGTGTGAACCACATATGGTCTATTCAGTATTCCTCTTTCTTGCTATTGCTTTAAAAAATATTATAACTCCTGAGAAATGTAAAAACATTCTTAGCTCACAGGCCATTAAAAAACCATACTGTAGAGAAGATTCAGCCTGTAGGCCTGAGGATATAGACCTTTATTTTATGTCATATCTAGATAGTTTGAATGAGATGCTTATTGATATCAAAGAACTTTTGATTTGACTACTTAATAATTTTTCAAGGAGTTATTTTCAGTTTCATTTCACCTGTGTGTTAAAAAAGGAGTTTCATTCTTACTTAGTTATATTAAGTAAGATACTAAATAAATTAATCCTAAATTTTTAGTTAATATACAGGCAAAAATTCATCAACCTCTTAGGTCTTAAGAAAAAATTACCATACAAAATAAAACCAAATTCTTAAAATTTAGCAAAATCAGGGAATTTTAAAAAAGGATCTTTTTGCTACTTAAGTCTTCAAATTCTTAGATACTATATATAATTCTGTGCTCTTACCAGTCTTAGATTGTAACAGTGGGAACCAGATAAACATTTCTGTTTATCTCAGAGTTACTTAATACTACGTGCTAAACATGGGGAAGCCCTCAGTTTTTCTGTACAATCTCATACCCCAATTCATTAATTCTGTGTATGTGTGAAGGATCACGTACTTAAATGTTACTGAGCATACTTTCAACTGTGAAATAGCATCTTCAAAAAAGATGCATTCTAACAACTGATTAGATAGAAACTGTGCCTTCGATTTCTGCACTCTGTGTAGCTCTATCCCTTACCAGATCCTCCGTATTTTGGATTTTCCTCTCTTCTGCTTCACTAAACTTTATGTCAAATCTCAAATTTCTGAGAGATTGCATCTGTAACTCTATATAATCTAAAAAAAAGTTTATCTTGAAAAAATATATCTAGAGAACAGCAGTATAATATTGTCTAGAAACCACATCAGATAGGTGATATATACTGTTTAAGAATATTCCAAGAGGTAATATTTAAGGAGTTCTGTCAATTTTAAGTATTCTGGGTTCATTTTATAATTCCTCTAAAATTTCAATGTTACTGATAATTAGGAGTTTGCAAAGTAAATTCTGAACTGAGTGGTGCTTCAAAGAAATAGGCCTTTTAGTTTGCCTAACAGCCAGAGTCCTGCCATGTCCTTTTCACATCTGCTTGTAATGAAGAAGAGCAAATTCCTAACTTACAAAGTTAACTCACATTCTTTTGTCTTCTCATAAGTATGAAACGAACATCTTCCATTCTAAGACAAAACGAAAATGTAATGAAATACCTTGGACCACTGTAAGAGTTTGTGATAGAAGTATATAGCATTGATTCCAATTCTTCCCAGCAAAGTTTTATCAACTTCACTATTTTGTGGATCTTTGCTAACTGAAAAGCAAAGGAAACATGGAAGAAAGTGAAATAATCACTTAAAACAATGAAAAAGGCAAATACATACAGAATCATTAGTACTACCACAAAGACTAAGGGTTGGCAATTTATAACTTGTGGGCCAAATCTGGGCAGTGCCTTCTTTTTGTACAGGGCATGAGCTGAGAATGATTTACATATTCTTAAAGGGTGGCTGATTTTTTTTTTAAAAGAAAACTATGCAACAGTGATTAGATGTGTTGTGTGCGCAAAGACTAGAATATTTACTAGCTGGCCCTTTACAGAAACAGTTTGCTCACCCTTGGTAAATGCTGTTCAAGTGAATGACTTACATTGGGAAAACAAAATCTCAAAAAAGTGTCAATTTTGTTTATTTGTAATAGTAGCATAAAACATTCAGTAGAATTATGACAAATTCAATGCACACTTCCATGTTTATTGCATCATTATTTACAATAGCAGAGTTGGGAATGACCCAAGTGTCTCATCAGTGACCAAATCACTAAAGAAAATGGTACACAATGGGGCATTATATATAATTAAATAATAATCAGGGAGTTCTGGTGGCTTAGAGATAAGGAGGTAAGGAGTTTTGCTGCCAGCTCAAAGGCACATGGTCAGAATTCACCAGGTGCTCTGTGGGAGAAAGATGGGCAATCCTGTCCTGTGTGATTTACAGCCTCTGAAAACACATTCGAGGGTCAGCTATGAGTCAGTTCTAACTTGATAGTACATAACAACAACAACAAAGTCAGATATAATAGGACAACTATGGTTTACAATCACTCATATAAAAAGGTCAGGAAATATTTACACACAGACTCTACCTTGGAGGGTTAACAAAGCTGGGAAGGTAAGGAAGGGGGAGTGAAAATAAAGAAACAGGTTAAGGTGGGTGATGGGAAAGGGGTTGATAATACTTGGAAAATAATAATAAATGGTAACTATTATAAAACAAAAAAGCATATGAATGATTTTGTGCAAAACCAATCAATTTATAAACTGTTATTAAAATCACAGATAGATTCAAGTGTTCATTATATTGCTAGCAACAATTTTAATCAATTTTCATAGCAAGAAAAAGAAGAGCATGAAACACAGAATATTAAAACACCAATTTTTAATTTATCTTACTAGAATCTATCCTAACAACAAGTGATGGCAACATTTATAGAGAGAAAAGTATGCTTTCTGAATCCTGCATTTTACATTACCCCTCAAAGGGAATCTTGAATAGCTTCAGATTCCTGTTAAGAACACTGCACTACTTTAACACAATTATCAAACTATAGAACAGTAACATTTTACCTGTTTCAGCAAATTCACAAAAAGGAACTTCTGGTTTCTCTTCCTTAAAGTCTTTTGTTAATGTTTCAGCAACACAAATGCAAAACCTTTGGAAATCTGCAAAATTTTCACAGCCTATTTTTACATTAATATATAAATTTCCCAATTTGATCCAGTTGCCATTTTCTTTACAGTGCTATTGAAATTATTAAAAGTGAAAGAAAGGAAGGAAAGAAAATTAGGCCATTCATGCAGACATTAAAGACTAGACAAGTGCAGGCATTAGGCATAAAAACTAGTCAGATAATCTCTGCAAATCTTACAAGCTGAGTATACTTCAATTTGCTTACTAGAGGAAAGCTTCTATAAATTAAAAAATGACAATATTGCAAAGTTGCTAATGCATTTAATGTCATCTCCAAAATGGAACCAGATAGTACAGACGGATTATACAGAAAAAGGACCTGCTATGTCATTCTGGCTAACTTGCTTCATGTATCTGATAGCACTTTCTTATTTATGAGGATTAACAGGTTCAAACAGATATGATTTCTATGAAGACTAATTGGCATAACATAAGTACATGGTTTTTAGCCTACAGTTCATACATTTCTGCTTTAAAGCTGTCTTTACAGTAACATAACACAGTACTACGAAAGACTGCATTTTACTAGTACTTGACAATTTTTTACTTAAGGCATTTATACCTTTTGAGCAAATACGTTTCTACGAAAAGGTGCTACCAAGCAAATTTCATAGCAATATATTTGTTAAAAAGATCTGGTGTGCAAAACAATGTATATGAACTTTATGAACTTTGTAAGTAAATGAGTATAAAATAAAAACATTTAAAAAATATAAACAAAAAAAATATAAACTACTAAAGTAAAAGTCAAGTACTGGTAAAATACAGTCTCTAAAAGTAATAAGCAGGGAGCTCTGGTGGCCTAGTGGAAAGAAGCTGCACTGCAATCCCAGAGGTGCGTGGTTCGAAGCCAGCAGATACTCTTCTAGAGAAAGAGGGACAATCTCCTCCTGTACCAGTCAGATCTGATTAGACAGTACATATACAGCATTATGACTACATTACGTAGTAGTAAAGATGTAATGCAGCATCTTCTGACTAGTTCCTATGACAAAAAAAGTTTCCTACACCAACAAAAGAGCTGTTCCAAGAATACGAATATTAATGAATAACCAGTAAGTTATCAAATAAAGTCACTGCCATGGAGTTGGAACTGAGTCACAGCTGACTTTCCAATGCTGCTGCTGGTGGAGTTGAGCCACCAGAGGCATGGCCTTTGGGTCAGTGGTGTTTAACTCCCTACAGACTACACTACCAGGACTCTTTCATAAGCACTCAAACTCAAAACTTATTACTAGTGAGTCTAAACTGACTCACAGCTGATCCTTTAGAGGGTTTTCAGAAGCAATAAATCACACGGGAGGAAACTTCAGTTTTTTCCCATGGCGGAGGAGTGGATTTGTACCACCAGAGCTTCCTACAAAGAGTAATGGAGAAGTATAAAAAGGCTACTAAATTAAAAAAGTAAAATCATGCTGAAAATCTTCTCTTGTTCTCTAAACACTTGGAGACGCGTGTACCTCTGGTCTTCCCCATCCTTTCAAAGGCTGCAGTGATCTGTGTACCACGCCTATAAGCTGAGGTCTGCACTGCTATCAACATTAAAGGGCTGAGTAGTGAAATACTATTATTTTATCTTACCATAAATTAATTTTGAAACAGAACTAAAATTATTTTGAGTACTTCACAACTCCAGGGTTTACTGTGTATGTTTGTAATTAAAAAATATTATTTTTTTAATCAGAAAAATCAAACACCTTTCCATAACCATTTTCTCTTTGTAATATCCATTTTCTAAAATAGTTCCCAAGACAAAGTTACCATTTGAATCGTATATTGTTATTGGTTTCAGGTATCTCAGCAATTTATTAAAAGGGGGGGAAAAGGGTTTCTTTCTGTGTATGTTTTATGTAAACCCCAAGCTGGTCTTAACAGTAAGTCTTTTAAATAGAAAGGAAAAAAGGTCATACCTCTATTTCCTTTAAGACTGAATCTACATCACATTTCCAGTTCTTTCTATGTTGCCTCCCCTGTAACCTTTAACAACAGAAGAGAGTTACATGCTTATCTTCACCCTACAAAGAGTTAGGTTCTAATTCACTTGTTCTACTGTTTCTGTCAAAAAGCCCAGAAGAAAATGAATACCATACAAATTCTTTTTTCTCCATATTTAAATTATTTTAATATGTTCAGTTGGAACCAGAAGTGACATCCACTTCCTAAACATGCCTCTGGAAACTCTATGAACTTTGATAAATGTTGATAGGTGCAGAGGGGCTTCAGGCCTTTCGTTCATATGAGTCGTGCTCGACTCAAAGGCAATCGACAACAACAACAACAACAACATGTTCAAGGTCTTTCTAGAAATATTAATGAATCCTTATTTCATTATGCCTTTGAAATCTAGCATTTATTTTCCACTTCTGCTGTGGTTTCTTTTTTTTTTTTTAATAATTTTAATGAACATTTACAGAGAATTTGGATTTCCACTCATTCATTGCTACAATTCTCTCCCCGCCCAGCCCTCTCCCTCAGCCCCCCAGTTCGCTCCTCTCTTTCAAAAGTAAAAGAAAGACTCCCTCCCTGGTACACAATTCCCCCGCACCCGTCCCACTGCCCCAAGTACATTCCATTATGCAACCTTAATTGTGGAACAAGACAAAGGTAAATAATCCAATTGAAAAATGGGCACAGGATATGAATAGACACTTCACCAAAGAAGACATTCAGATGGCCAACAAACACATGAAGAAATGTTCAAAATCCCTAGCTCTAAGAGAGATGCAAATCAAAACAACTATAAGATATCATCTCACTCCAGTCAGAATAGCAAAATTTAACAGAACAGCAAGCAACAAATGCTGGCGAGGTTGTGGAGAAACTGGAACCCTGATTCACTGTTGGTGGGAGTGGAAAATGGTGCAACCACTGTGGAAGGCAGTATGGCGCTTTCTCAAAAAGTTGCAAATAGAGATACCATTTGACCCAGCAATTCCACTACTGGGAATATATCCCAAAGAGACCATAACTGACATCCAAGCAGATATATGCACACCCATGTTTATCGCAACTCTGTTCACAATAGCAAAGAGTTAGAAACAACCCAGGTGCCCACCAACAAACGAATGGATAGAGAAGCTGTGGTATATTCACACAATGGAATACTACGCTGCATTGAAAAACAAGGAACTCATGCAATATTATTCAAATGGGTGAGCCTGGAGGACATTATGCTGAGTGAAATATCTCAATTACAAAAGGACAAATATTGCATGGTACCACTGCTGTAAAATGGGACTGAGAAAAACAAATTCTTTTTTAAAAAAAATTATTTTAAATTGATTTTAATTAAAGTTTACAGATACTTTGGATTTACATTCATTCATTGTTGCACTTTTCTCCCTCTCTATATCATACAAATTCTTAAAAGAGGAAGAAAACACCCGACTTCATCCTATTTACTTCTTAAGTAGTAGGCAGCAAGGTTAAAAAAAGACATATTCTACCCTAAACCACACTTCCGGTATAGCCTGAAGGCAAAGAAGGCCAAAACTTTAAAAGAGATAACTGCACCTCTCCTACCCCATTCTCACAGCTCCAAAAGAATCTGTGGCAAGCAAAGATAGGCCAGGTCAAAATCTGCAAAGCAAGTTACTGTATGGGAGAAAAGAAGAACCTAGCATTGAAAAATACCACCCTTAAACACTGTGAGTGGGATTGTACAACAGTACAACCACTCGGGGAGGCAGTTAAGTATTCTCTCAAAAAGCTGAACATAGAAATTCCATATGACCCAGCTATTCCACTCCTTGGGAATCACCTTGAGAGAATGAGAACTGAGGCACTGGTGTACTGAGACTTGTACACCAATGTTCATAGCAGCATTATTCACTATTGCAAGAATTGGAAACAGTTGAAATGTCCAACCACAATAGAATGGATTGAGAAAATATGATACATTCAAAAGATGGAATACTATGTAGCACTCAGGAGCAATGATTTTGTAAATCACTAACTTGGGAGGAACCAGAGAGAATTATTCTAAGTGAACTAACTCAGTTCCATAAGGACAAATACTGTAGAAGACTATTATTGTAGAACATGTATGAGGTTCCATGGGGGAGGAAGGTGGGAGCAGAGGAGTGAGGATGGGCAGGGAAGTTTAATCATAGGGTCACACAATTTGATGGGTAGAGGGAGAGGTGAGTAAAGAAAATGGGAAAGAACTGGTGTGAAGAACAATGTATATGAACTTTGTGAGTAAACCAGTAAAATATAAAAATTTTATTTTGTAAAAAGGTTCAATACCATCTAGGCATTTGGAAATGCTAAAGAAAAAAAAAGGTGAGAAAAATGAGAAAAAAAGAAGGAAAAAAGAGGAAAGCAGCCCCCTCTGGCAGATGGAAAGGGGTGGGGGAGAAACAAAAGAAGCAAAATTTAGCATCCTGCAAGACCATGTTGTTGTTGCTCTTAGGTGCCATCGAGTCGAATAAGCCTCACAGAAACCCGATGAACAGCCAATCTGAACCCTGCTCTATCCTGGGCTATCTTTGCCATCTCTGATATACTAGAGCCCATGCTGAAGTCAGTGTGTCAATCCATCTGATTGCGGTCTTCCTCTCCTTTAGTGACCCTCTCTATCTTTCCAAGCATAATGTCTCTTTCCAAGGAACAGCCTTGCCTAGCTATTTGTCCAAAGTATGTGAGATGAAGTTTTATCATCTTTGCCCCCAACAAGCACTCTGGCTGTACTGTGCCCAAGACCTATCTGTTTGTTCTGTTGGATGTCCATGGGATACACGGGACTCTTCTCCAACACCACAGCTGAAAAGAATCAATTCTTATCCTATCATCCTTATTCACTGTCCAGCTTGAAGATGCATAGCAGGTGACTGAGAAGACCATGGCCTGAATCAGCTACACCACAGTCTCCAAAATGAGACAAGCAGAAAAGTAGATGACTCAAGCATCTAGCCTTCTTATCACCAAAACACACACAAACTCCCAGCAAAGCAACCTGGACTTTCTTAAAGAGACAGAAGAGGGTGCTACTAACCTAAGAAGTGAACAAAAGTCCTTTCAGGGCTCCTGTAGAAATTCAGGATGTGAACTTTCATAGTAACAGTAAAGAAAAATTCCCTTAACCATGAAGCAGAAGAAAATGATAAATCTGTACCCTAAAACAAATTTAAATAAATGCAAACACTTGAGTATATGGGGATAAAACCTCCACAAACCCCAAATGTACTCTGTAGCAGATAAAATGAAATAAAAGCAAATAAAAAACTAAAAATGGAAACTAACACAAGAGGATAGAAGAGAATCAACTGAACACAGCAAGTTCAGTACTCGGGCTAACACCTCTGGATTAGCTCTACTGGATGGACCCTACTGTTGTTAGGTGCCACTGTGCTGACTACGACTCATGGCAACCCTATTAAAAAGGGATCTGAATTTTGCCCTATCTTGTGGCATCATCTCTGATATACTTAAGTCCATTGTTACTGTCACTGTGTCAATGCATCTTGTTGAGGGTGGTCTTCTTCGGCTAACCCTCCCCCTTTTTAAAAAAATGTGTGTGTGTGTGTACTGTCAAACTGGATCTGTCTGGTACAGGAGATTGTCCCTCTTTCTTCAGCAGAGCATCTGGTGGATTTGAACCTCACACCTCTGGGATTGCTGTGTAGCTTCTTGCCACTAGGACACCTCTAACTTTTTTTAGTATCTTTTTCCAAGGACTGATCCCACAAACAATATGCCCAAAATATGTGATGCAAAGTTTCATCATCCTTGCCTCTAAGGAGCACCCTGGTTGTACTTTTTCTAAGACATATTTGTTTGTTCTTTTTCTCTTATTTATTTGGCAGTCCCTGGGATATGCAACATTCTTCTCCGACACTACAACTCAAAGTCATCAATTATTCTTCTGTTATCCTTAATCGCAGTCCAACTTTCAGATGCATAGGAAGTAACAGAAAAGCCCATGGCTTGGACTAAGTATCCTTTAGTCTTTTAACTCACATCCTTACTCTGTATAAACCCCTAAAATTATTGCCCTGAGATAATCTTAAATATAAACAAAAAAAGAGCCTCTTGAAGTCTTCTTTAAACTGTAAAGTATGTCCACTGCAAACACTAGGCTCTTTTAAACAATTATATACATTGGATTAAATTGATGACAGCATCTGAAAAGGTTAGGTAGGAAACTCAGAAGGGAGTAAGTTTATGTTAAAGAGGGAGCAATAATTTTGGAAAAGAGGAGGAGAATTACACAAGATCAAGAATAAAGTCAGAAGAAATGAATTATAAAAATTGTTGAACTGACTGCAATCTTAGAGATGCATGTTTCGAATCTACCAGATGCTTTGCTGGAGAAGGAGGAACAATCTCCTCCTGTACCAGTCAGATCTGATTTGATGGTGCACACACAAAATAATGAAATAAAATAAAAAATAAATTAAAAAAACCTGTTGAACTGGTTTATGTTCTACTGTGTACATTTTCAACAACAAAAATTATTTTAAAATTATGGTTCATTTAAATACTTATGATTTGCACACTTTTCTCTATGTATGCTTTATTTTGAGATAAACTTTAGAAATTAATGGCTTTCCTTTTATTCGCTACAGGTATACTCTGGTATTTTATAATTATCAGAGGTCAAAAACGCAAACCAAAACAAAAGCCTTTGGACTCCTACAAACTCGGAAAAAGCAAGTGAGAGAAAAATGCAAAGAATGGTATTAAGGCATTTCATTAAGAACAGGAGCTTTAATGGCTAAGCAGCAAGGAACTGTACTGCCCACTCAAAGGTACATGGTTCAAATCTACTAGATGCTCCATGGGAGAAGGTGGGTAATCTTCTGGTGTGATTAACTGCCTCTGGAAACCCTCTGAAAGTGCAGCTATGGGTTGGTTCTGACTCAGTGGTACACAACAACAACAACATAACAAGGAGTAAAAGAGAAAAAGAAAATAATATATATACACGGAGTAATCCCTGGGTGTTGCAAATGCTTTAAGCATTAAAAGGTTAGAGATTCACATCCACAGACGTCTTGAAAGAAAAGCCCAATAGTCTACTTCCCAAAACATTAGCCAATGAAAATGCTATAGTACATAGCTCTGCTCTGACTAATGGTGTTACCATGAGCCAGAGACAATGGAACAGCAACTGGTTTTAGAAACAGGTACGGAAGAAAAACTTGGGGATCTTCAGAAGTCAGCTGGTCAACCTCTGATGCATCACAATGGTACCATCTGGTTGTGCTCCATTATGCAAAGAGTTGTCAGAGTCTGGGCCAAGTTGACAGCAGCTAACAGCAACTTATACCCATAAGATAGTACATCAACTGGAATTAAAGATGACTTCTTTTATACCTGATGTACAAAACTGAGATGAAATGAAGTAGAGAAAGATTTGGTGAGGATGGCCAGGAAGGTTGGCTAGAGGCAGCTAGGTTACAACCGACAGACAGGAGAACAGCTAAGAATCCAGATGATTATACATAAAAACAATGTCTTTACTCTTTTATTTTTTTTTTGAGGGGGAGAAGAGACTGAACGCAGGGGGTGAACAGATCCAAGACTGCTGCCCTCAGCAATGCCTTTACTCTTTATGTGTTGTTGTGCACTACAGAGGCAAAACCGACCCACAGCTGACCCTCCAGCAGGTTTTCAGAGGCAGTTAATCACACAGGAGGAGACTGTCCACCTTTCTCCTACAGAAGAGTTAGTGGCCTCGAATTGCATGCCTTTGGGACTGTAGCACAACTTCTTGCCACTAGGCCACCAGAGATCCCTTTATTCTTTATAAATCCCTAACAAATACATATTCGAACTTTAATGAGAGTGCTTTTTCTCACCTGGATTTCATTTCCAGAACTGCCGTTATTCCTTGCTTGGAAGCCTGTACTTGGTATAAAAGCTTAAGAATATAGTCAAAGTGTTCTGGGTCAAGTACCATCCCAGCTTCAACAAGCTATGGAAAAGAAAAATAGTCATTCTTGAAAAAAAAATGAGTTAAGACGATTTAAGAAAGTACTAAAACTACTAATGAGTGAAATCAAACATGGGATATATTTTTTGTTCAAATATGTGAGAACCACAGTAAGATATCCTAATCTAAGATTCTAAAATAATAATTTTGAATTAAAAACTTAGCTCTATTTTTCTTCTAATCCTTTATTTATTGCTGTACTAGTTATTTACTCTCCATTTTGTCTTTTAGTATAAGCATGATGTTCACAGCTCATTCCTGACCGTAAATTTCCCAAGAGGTAATTCTCTTGCGTCTTACATTGGACATTGCCTGGACAGGGATAAAATAATCACTGACTTCACATTTAAAGATCAGTTCATTAACTCTAGCTCCAAAGTAGAAAGCTAATAAGGGTTATCTGGATGTCTGTGTACTTCCGGGGTGGGGGGGAAGATAAACCAATGAGAGGCAGGTCTTCTAAGACATGCTATTTCCAAGGAATGGGAAGAAGGTTACAAGGTTTTGAGCCAGAAGTTTTTTTACTAGCTGCTTCCTAACAAATATTACTGTTGGTTTCAGCATAAAGTTGTCATGGCTGTTACAGAGCAGCAAGTAATAGATGTTGGAGAGGATGTGGCGAGAAAGGAACTCTTATGCATTGTTGGTAAGACTGTAAAATGGTGCAACCATTGTGGACGGCACTTTGGTGCTTCCTCAAAAAGCTGAACATAGAAATTCCACTACTTGGAATATACCTGGAGAGTATGAGAATTGAAGCACAAACTGAGATTTGTACATCAATGTTCACAGCAGCTTTATTCACCATTGCAAGAAAATGGAAACAGCCCAAACATCCAACCACAAACAAATGGATTGAGAAATTATGGTACATTCACACAATGGTGCAGCACACAGGAGCAGTAACTATGCAAATTATTACCTAACTTGGGAGAGACTGGAAAGTATTATGCTGAGTGAACTAACTCAATCCCACAAGGATAAATATCATATAAGACCGTTATTGTAGAGTATAAGGATCCAGGAGGGGTGCGAGAGGCTGGAAGCAGAGGGATGTGGATGTATGGGGGAAGAGGGGATTAATCATTGGATTGTACAATTTGATGGGGTGTGTGTGAGGGAAATTTAAAGAATTTGTTCGAATTTGTATTAGAATTTTGTCAATAAACTAGTGGGGGGGGAAGGTGTCATGGTGGTTATGTGCCTTAAGAGTGGGAATCAACTTCCAGCTGATTCTTCAGCATTGGAAAATTCCACAGGAGGAGACTCCCCATCTTACTCTCTTGGAGCAGCTGGTGGATTCAAACCATACGTGTTTGGGTTGGGAGCACAGTTTCTAACCACTAAGCCACCAGAGCATCCAACAGCTTGGCCTCCAATATTACCCTGGGAAAAGGCTGGCACTGGAAAGATGAGAAAGCTAAGACTGAAATTCTGTTGTTAAATGGCATCAATCGACAAAACTCTAGGAACAACAGACCTAAACCTTGTACTATCTTGCCTGTAAGCAGTATTTTTGCTGGGAATATTCTACAGGTCTATTTTAGCTTTAAGAAACCTCTTACTTGCTCACTTCAGCAACATACATACTAAAATTGGAACGATACACAGAAGACCAGCATGGCAGAAGTGTGACAGGAGTGCAGAAATGACGTGCAAATTTGTGAAACATTAAAAAAAAAAATCCAACAACCCACAAAACAGCCCAACAAAAAAACCCTTAAAATATAGGAGTGGTTCCAGATGTCTGGGATAATTTATACCTTGCTTCTTTTATTTATTTAGATTTGAAATATTTTTCAGAAAGTTAAGAATTTGTTGTTGTTTGTTGTTATGTGCCGTCGAGTCGCTTGCAACTCATAGTGACCCTATGTACAACAGCCCTAAACTCTGCTCTGTCCTGTGCCAACTGCACTGTCTCTGACACTCCCATCAATTTAGTGGATGGTAAAACAACAGTAAGAAATAGGTGGATGAGAAAAACTTCTTTGAAATACTAGGATAGCCTATATAGTTAAAAAAAGAATCACACTTTTCATTGTTCTTAAAAATAGAAATAAAATAAGCCCTAGTGTGGAAACCCTTCTATTTTGTTGTCAGCATTTGTAAGTAACATATATTCTGAGTTGGAATTTCTTTGAATGAAGGAAAATGGTAAAACACTTAAGAACTGTCTCAAATTTGAAGGCACAGGATCCTTTTTTAGGGAGCTTTTTGGTGGCTCCCTAGAGGAGCTGTGCTGCTAGAAACTCCCACCTTATTTAGGATTATGCAAACAACTCATTGCCGATGAGGAAAAACAGACTAATGGCTGACCCTCCAGCAGATTTTTAGGAGGCTGTAAACTGCATGGGAGGAAACTGCCCATCTTTCTCCCTCGGAGCTGCTGGTGGATTCCAACAGCCTGAGGGGGCTGGGTTAGCAAATCTATGATTAAAACGGTTGGGTTTTTTTTTAATGAAAGCTTTGTAAAAACAACTATTTAAAGCCTAGCTGATGGCTTAGTGGGTACAAGTTGTGATGCCAATCCAAAGCCATGTGGTTTCAATCTACCAACTGCTTGGTAGGGAGAAAGATGGGCAATCTCCTCTCATGATTAACAGCTTCTAATGGGGATTTACTGCTTCTTAAACCTGCTAATGGGTCAGCTATGGCTTAGTTCTCACCTTATGGCAATGAGTGGAGTTGAAAGTTTGTTTTAGAAGAGGCTCTAATTCTTAAACTATTTACATTAGGTTTTTTAGATTAAAAACAGAAGTCCAGAATAAGAGTTACATAGCAAAGTGGTGATGGTGGTGAAATGTACAACAAAGAAAGAACTTTTTTTCATAGGAAAAAAAGCAAACTTGGAGGAAAGGGATGACCAGGAGGAACATGTGCAACGATGAATGAATGGAAATTCAAGTTCTTTATAAATTTTCATTAAAATATAAAAAAAAGGGACCCCCCCCAACAGAAACTCTCTTATAGCCATTGAGTTAAAACTCACTTCAAAGCTGAACCTCCAACATGCTTTCAGAGGCTGTAAAATACACAGGAGAAGATTACTCATCTTCTTCCTGTGAAGCAGTTGGTGGATTTGAACCATTTGCCTACGGGTTGGCAGCACAACTCCTTACTCTTTAGACCATAAAGCTGTCAAGCTCATCTTAGGAAAGGAAAATAGCTCCTCTTTTAAATGTGCCAGGCCATTATTATGACAGTTTCCAAATGATAAAAAGTAAAGAAGCACCAAATTATTTACTACTATTATGCACCCGAGCATGCTAAAGAACCACCACTGGCCTATCTGTAAATGGCACTGGCCACACAGGGACTTTCAGTTAATAAACAGACTCAAACCTACAAGAAAATAACAGTTTTTCTGATTAATGACACACACCAAAAACATGCCTTTTAACAATTCTCAAAAACTAAGGTAAAAAGTTTTTTCTTGACAATATAGGGAACAACCGAAAGCAGTATAAAATGAGCTGTTAATTGCTGCTTTCTTAATGATGTGTGTGGTAATTAGATGGGGGTGTGGTACACTGCTCTAGCAAGAAAGAGGAAAAACATCTTCCACTATGATAATTACATGGTTTTAGTCATCAATGAACTCTGGAACAGTCTCAACAGGGAAACCAATATTAGTATCAAACAACTTCTAGAAATGATGTATTAACTATGTAAAAAGAAAACCACTATGTCAGATACACTCCATTGCTAGCAAGTTCACTTGTATAACAACAGGAGCATATTTTGCGTTTTAGAGTACTTTGGAATATTTACTGGGGCCCTACAATCTCTACAGGTGACCAGTGACTTCTGATTCACAAAATTTTTAGGCAATTACTTTACTCAAGTTTGATAATGTGGAATTAGAAGTATTTATTCAATTATCTGTTCTTCTACCAGAGTGACTCCCATATTTTTGCCTACAGGTTAGGGCTTCTTTTTTTTTTTAAAAAACCAAACTATTAGGCTTGTTTTGAAGTGAGCTGCTGTTTAGTATCAAATACTAGAAAGAATCTATCAAAAGCCAAAATCTGAATGTATTTTTTTATGAGAATCATAAAAAGTTATTTCTCTTTTTTTTTACAGCCTAATTTAAACCTAATTTCTAGAAGGAATACACAGTGACTATATCAAAAGGAAATGATCAATACTGAAGAATTTCAGGCAGTACCATATGAACAAAAGTCAACAGTAAGACCTTCAAGGCACGATGACTGAAGGCACTAGCAAAAAAAAATAAGGCCCCAAGAATTGATGGCATACCAATGGATATGTTTCAAATAACAGACGCAATCCTGGACTTGCTCACTGGTCTATGCCAGGAAATCAGAAGGACCACTGCCTGCCTGACTGACTGGGGAAAAAAAAATCCATATTTAATCCTATTCCCAAGGAAGGTAATCCAACAGAATGTGGAAATTACTAAACAATATCATTAATATCACACACAAGCAAAATACTGCTGAAGATCATCCAAAAGTGGCTAGAAAAGAAAAAAAAATCACCAGAAGTTGAAGCAGGATTTACAAGAAGCTGTGGCACCAGGGATATCATTGCTGATGTCAAATGAATCTTGGCTGAAAGCAGGGAATAGCAGAACAAAGTCGACTCGTGTTTTATTGACTATGCAAAGGCATTTCACTGTGTGGATCGTAACAAACTACAGCTAACATTAAGGATGGGAATCCCAGAACACTTAACTGTGCTCATGTAGAATCTGCATCTAAACCACAAAGCTGCTGTCTGAATGGAGCAAGGGAACACTGGATGAGTATCAGGAAGGGTGTGCACCACGGTTGTAGCCTTTCTCCACATTCTATATGCTGAGCAAATAATTTGTGACTGGACTTTATGGGGAAGTGTGGCATCAGAATGAGAGATGGACTCATCAAAACATGCATTATGCAGGGGACACAATCTTGTTGAAAATGAAGGGAAGGACATGAAACATCTACTTCAGAAGATCAAGGACTACAGCCTCAGTGTAGATTAATTTCAACATCAAGAAAACAAAGGTCCTCAACAGGGCCAATAGGCAAAATGATGATGGGTGGAGAAAAGATTGAATTGCCCATAATTTCATCCTACTTCGATCAACAATCAACACCCATGGTTACAGCAGTCAGAGTATCAGGAAACGTGTCAGATTGGGCCAGTGTGCTGTCAGGGACCACTTCTAAATACTGACGAGCAATGTTCGTGTGAAGACTAAGGTGCATCTGATTGAGGCTATGGTGTTTTCAATCACTTGCTATGCATTTGAGAGCTGGACAATGAGAGAGGAGGACATGAGAAGTGATGCCTTTGACCTGTGGTGTGGGAGAACAGAAATGAATATCCCATTGACTGCCAAAAGAACAGACAGACGTGGTTTTTTGTGCATCCACAGTACTCCTTAGAACAAAGATGGTGCAGTTTCATCTCTCATACTTTGGGTATGTTGCTGGGAGAGGCTATTCCTTGGAAAGGGACATTATGATTGGAAAGGTCAGTTAAAGAGAAGACCCCAAAAAAATGGACTGACACAATGACTGTAGCAATGGGTTTAAGTGTGTTAGAGATGATGAGAAAGACACAGGACAGGACAGGGTTCAGATCTGTTGTTTATTGTGTAGCTATGAGGTCACATGACTCGACGGTACCCAATAACATTTCTCTGTGTCTACTTTGTTTCAGGATTTTCTATTTAGATGTTAATATGAGTATTTTTGTTGTGTAATACTTCAAGTCTTTTGCGGAAAGAATTGTCTTTAATAATTTTTAAAGAGCAGAGATGAGCACCATTTGAAAATCAGAAAACAGTCCCCTAGCGTGTTTGGAAGTACTTATTTAAAGAGAAGCTTGTCAGCTATTGCAGTGCATATTTATTTCACAAAAAAAAGCATTTTTCTAAAAATAGAATTCTTTGGCATCCATTAAGTGAATAAAAGGCAGTTCAGAGATCTAAGTGGAAATAGTTATTTCCTTGGCTCTTAAAAAATAAAGAGAAAACAAAAATCATACCTTGCAAAAGATAGCAATTAATGCAGGTACAGCATTCCTTAAGTTCATAGCTGCCACACGTTCAAATATGTTTAGCAGTATTTTCAAAGCAGGCTAGATAAAAAAAAAATTGCACTCATTTTCATGTCATCTTTCAGTATACCTACAGTTTCTCAAACTTACTTATGCTGAAAAACATGGCTTCTCGATGAAGCATCCAACAAATACAGAAATTTAACAGGCAAATTATATAAACAATAAAGAAAAGAGAAAAATTCACTTAAATTTTTAAAAATGTTTATTTGTAGGTTACTTACCAACATTTTAAGCATTATGCTGAGGTTTAATATCTGAAATACTTCTTTTAATAAACAATATTTAATCAAAGAATTCAGAAGGTCATTTAGCACTTGTAAATCAAAGTGCATACTGGGAGGAAACTGTCCATAGTATTCCATAAACATGTTTGCTGGGGGAAAAAAGTATTAAAGTAATTTGCTTCTATTAAATTATTCACTTTTCTTAAGACAATTTTTCTCCATTTACAGATTAAAAAAAGCCATTTCCATCAAGTTGGAATCAACTCATAGTTGACCCTCCAGTGGGTTTTGTTGTTGTTGATTGCCTTTGAGTCAAGCATGACTCTTAGTGACCGTATGAACAAAAGGCCTGAAATTATAGACAAATATCAAAGTTCATAGAGTTTCTGGAGGCAAGTTATTTAGGAAGCGGTGCCACTCCTGCTTCCAACCAGTGGGTTTTAAGAGGTTGTAAATCACAAGAAAAAAGACTGCCCATCTTTCTCCCTCAGAGCTGCTGATGGATTTAAACTGCCAGCGAGGTCTACCCGGAGGATCAGCAGTGCAGTTCCCAGTGTACCACACTACTAGAGCGCTTCCTATTTAAATAGAGTCAAATTTTAATATACGATGTAACATTCGAAATACTGTGATACAATATTAAGTACACGTTTAGTATATATTTAAAGATAATTATTACTAAGGGTGAATGTACTAAGATAAATTGTGGATAATGAAAATATATATAATTAAACATAATGAATTTATATTAACTACTCAATTGTTTAATACCTGCACGTTGTAGCAGACACAACTCACTGATATTTATATATTTCTTAAGCACATCCATGCAAACCTGTGAAAGCAACAAAAAGAATTGAAAATATTTTTCTGTATTTCATAAAATAAAAACGACAAATTTTCTGCCTATCTTTTGGCTACTGCCAAGTTTTAAAAATGAGCTTAGCTAACTCACTGGAATAAAGATAATGTGAATTTACAGATTCCAAATTCATTAAAAATTCTTATTTAAAGTAATTAAAAATAACCATTTACTGAGGCAAGGATATTGTCTATGGCCAGTGAATGAGAAGAGTCTAGAAACAGATATAGCATCTAAAAATAAAATTGCTCCCACCCAAAAACCAAAACAAACAAGAACAAACCCTCAAATGCCACAGCTGTCAACTCAGAACCAACGTAAAGCTCCAGTGAGTGTTTGGGAGGCTGCCCGTTACACAGGCAGAGACTGTGTATTTTTTCCCCATAGAGCTGCTGGTTGCGCTGAACGGCCAGAGGGGTGTCACCTTTGGGTTAACAGTGCAACTACTCCCTATTGATGATGTTCCCCAGAGCTCCCCCCACTCACAGAGGTAGCTTATTTATGACACGGGTGACACAGCAGTGCACTTTCGGAAAAGACAGGCTTTTAAGTCAGATGAACAGAGGGAAAGAAGGGAATGTATTCTGAACTTTTTCTTACACCACAAAGTAAAAGCAATTCTAGATGGAACAGAGTGCTAACTTCCTAAGTATAAAGAACACAACTTCTGTATCTAGTGCATTGTAATTTCTACTTCAAGGCTTTATAACTTTTACCTTTTCATCCCCTTGCTCAGGGACATGAGCAAATTTACACTGTGCTCGTTCACAGCCACGTAATGTATTAAAATGAAATTTGCAGTATCTATGGGGTAGCATTAATCCCAGAGGCTTCTGAAAGGCCTAGAATATGAGACAAAATCTCTGTCAGTGTCACTTGCAAAAACACTTATTATGAACAAGTGAAAAAGCATCTGAAGCAACTGGAATGTTATACAGTAGTATCCAGCTAACTCTAGTGGTCATGTGGTAAGAAGCTGCACTGCCAAACCAAAGTCAAAGAGTTCAAATTCACCAACAGGTCCAAGGGAGAAAGAAGAGCAATCTCCTCCCATGCAATTTACAAACTTTGAAAATTTGCTGGAGGGTCAGCCACAACTTGGTTCCAACTCAAAGGTAATAACAACATCAATAACAAAAAGATAAACTAAAGCACCAAGTAATTTACAATTTAAAAAATAACAACATGATAAATCCCATGAGATTTATCTATAGCTTTTCTCAATTTTCTGACATCTAAAATACTCTTAATATCAAGATTCTTACTGTTTTCCTTTATACATTTTAAAAGCTTATCCCTTTCCTCTTCCATCTCGTTTAACTATCCCTATTTTTACACAAATTTAATTATAATAAGGATTTTATTTCCTTAGCATCTCTAATTAACATAGGTTAATAAGGTATCTTATTAAGTATTTTCTGTTTTCTGTTTGGATGGTCCCTCTCTTCAGTTTTCAAGTTAAGAATATCTTGAGACAAGCAATACTTGTATCTTTCCTCTTACCACACCAATTCCCATTCTAATGTGCAGAACAGCTTAAAAAATGAGGACAAAAATGGGGCAAGCAGAGGATCTTAAAGTAAATGTTTTAATATAACACTTCCTTAAAAAGTAGATGACTTACCAGACTTTTTTCCCTCTTAAATACTTCACAAGTTTCAGGGGTTGGCAATGTGAGGAGAGAATGATTTATCAGAATCCGGTTATCTAGAAATAATTAACAATGACATCACATATCAATGTTATGACGAATTCTTGTGTAACAATGAAAGAGATGATTACTACTAGTGAAGTTATTGTTCTGCTTGGGAATATTCATGCTTAATACATAGATTGTGTTGTTATAATACATAATAATGAAACACAATGGTTTATACCTTGTTGCTATTAGGTGTCACTGAGCTGATGATGACTCAAAATGACCCTATGAATGACAGATCTGAACCATACCCTGTCCCACACCCTCCTCATGGTCTGTCATGCTCAAGCCCAGTGTGACTGTTACTGTGTCCATTTGTTCCACTGGAGGGTCGTCCTCTCTTCTGACCACCCTTCCCAGTATCTCTCTCCAAGGACTGGTTCCTCTTGACAACATGCCCCAAACATGTGACATGATGTTTCGCTGTCTTGCCTCTAGGGAGCACTCTAGACATGCTTCCTTCAAGACGGACACACTTGTTCTTTGGCCAGTCCATGGTGTATTTAATACTCTTCTTCAACACCACAATTAAAAGGCATTGGTTCTTCTGCAATCCTTATTCACTGTCCAACTTTAAGATGCAAAGGAAGCAAATGCTTGGATCAGGTACACTTTAGTCTTTAAAATGATATCCACACTCATTAGAACTTTGGAGAGGTCCCTGACAGTAGCAGTAGTTAAGAAATCAAAAGATGTGTTGTCCTGAGGAAATCTGCTGTCAAAGATCCCAAGATGTTTATCTTAGGTGTATATTTCTAAAATTAAATTTAAATTAAGCTAATATTATACACAATAAAGTTTTCTAAGGGAAGAAAACCCACTGGCAAACCTAAGGACTAATATCCCTTTTATTATATGGTCTTTTAAAATAAGAATTAGGGCATTTAAAAAAATGCTCTTTTCTAAAGACAGAATGTAACAAATCAAAGCATTTTTTATTTTAAATACTACATTGTTTTTTAACCCTGATAATATTACATATAATCTGGAATAAACTGATGTTTTTGGTACATCAGTGGCAGTAATATGCATTATTAAACACATATGATTCTTAAAAATAAAAAGCAACCATTGTGGCTTGCTGCAGTGGGACACAACATTGTTGTTGTTGTTGACTGCCGTTGAGTCGAGCACGACTCATAGCGACCCTAAGAACAAAAGACCTGAAGCCTTTCTGTAACTATCTTCATTTCTCAAAGTTCATAGAGTTTCCAGAGGCATGTGGTTTAGGGAGTAGATGCCATTTCTGCCAATATTAGGTACCATGAAGTCAGAATGAAGGTAGAGAAGAGCTACTCAAAGTGATTTTAAGAGTTTGTATTCTTCATTTTGTTTATTCTTCACATCAACAAATATTTACAGATTATAAAATATATACATAAACACATTCAATTAAGATAGAAATATTTTAGGTATTACTTGTAATTTCCCTATGAAAAGCTGCCAACCCAAAAGCCCATGGTTTGAATCCATCAGCTGCTCTGTGAGAGAAAGATGGGCAATCTCCTCCCTTGTAATTTACTGTCTCTGAAAACCCACCAGCGTGTCAACTATGAGTTGGTTCTGACACAAAGGTACTGAGTGATAACAACAACCACTACTATGTATAACTATTTCTGAAATTGTTTTATCTAAAGTAGTAAGTAAATATACACATATCTTCCACTTTTAGCAAGTCTATACTCATTGAAAACTTAAAAATATAATTTTTGTTTTGATGGAAAAGTCTACATAATTTCAATATTAACAAAAAAAATAAATAAAATTTTATTAAGATAAAGTACCATTCATCCAGGGTCTCAGGACTGGGTCCTCTTGATAAGCACTGAGATTGAGCGGTGGCATGAGTAAGGATAGAGGCTTTGGGGCCAGTGCTGCAACCTGACAGTCACCAAATTTAATCTCTGCACTGGGAGAATCTTTGCTGGGTGAGCACAAAAATAAAAATCAGAATTTAAATTTCTTTTTAAGATATCAACATAATGGTAAACAAATAAACAGAAAAAGAACTGCTACCCACATTATGTCATTTTTCAATACAATGACTCTAATCACTTTATTAACAATAAATTGTTCTTATTTTAACTAGAAAACTCTGGTGGAGCAGTCTGTAGGAAGTTGTGCTGTTAACCCAAAGAAAACATATTATGGTTAAACAATTGGTATAAACAGGTAGGAGGGAGTAAGGAGCTCAAACTGGAGTTAAACATTTTTGATCATATTAGACAAAAAGTCTGAGGGGGCAAATCCCAGTCATTCTAATCAGCAAAGGCCATCTAATTAATCTTCTGATAGTATAAAGGAATTGTAAATTTTCTTAAGGACACATATACAAAATAAATATACACATGTACTTAAGAGCCTCCTTTGGGGAGACATGTAAAAAAACATTATTGTTTCAGGGTTATTGTTATCTATTTTATTTTTTTTTTTTAGTTTTTGATATAGTTAATTTATTACAAAAGAGAGACATAGAGATTATTTACATGATGGAAGATTTCAGAACTTCAGTGGAGTGGGCAGCTTCACATGATGCCATTTCAATAGTGATTTATTTCAGTCTACATACTTCCTAAGAATGTCACCATCTCTAAATAAGAAATAATCCTTGTCATCTATAACTACTTGGTGCCTCCATATTCTGGGAGAAGAACTCTGTCTCCAACTTCACACTGACGGGCTGAATTTCTCCACCCTTTCCTTTAGATCTGGATCCAACAGCTACTACTGTTGCTTGCAATACTTTTCCTTGAGATTTTTTTCTGGAAGCATAATGCCTCCTTTGGTTACAGTTTCAGTTGTACTCTGTTCCACTAATACTCAGTCAAAGAGGGGAAGAAACTTTCTAAAGGCCTGTCCTGTCATGATTCTGATCGTCGCAGCTTGCACCCCACTCCCGCTTCACTGCTGCAAGGAGAGACCAGCAAAACTGGCCCTCGAGACACATGAATGTGGGCACTCAGAGTTGCTATCTTTTGGTCTGTATGTGAATCTAATATAATAACTACCCCCAAAATATTTAATCTGGACGTCTTTTATCTAGAAAAATAAAGACCTTAAAACAAAGGAGAGAGAGCAAAGTATCTCAGAACTAAAAAATAGAAATAAATGAATTTACTTTTAAGAGATTGATACTTTCCCTCAGAGACTATACGTTTTTATAGTAAAATCAATTTTAACAAGCTTTATAGGCTGGTTTTCTGGATTAGAGAAGAGAAAAAATAGCAAGGCTTCAAAAAAGGTTCATCTGGTTAGACCTCTGCTGAGAATGTCCACTTCTATCCCGTCATTGTCATTGTCGTCGTTAGGTGCCATTGAGGTGTAGATGACTCACAGTGGCCCTATGAACGAAAGGCCTGAGCACTGTGCGTACATAGAGTTTCCGGAGGCAAACCATTTCAGAAGTGGATGCCACTCCTGCTTCCAAGCTTGTTTTAACTGAGAAGCTCCACCAAACACTGTCCCCCATGGGGAACCATTACCACATCTGGCACATCAGTGTCATAGTATTTAGCATCACAGCAACCACGAGTTACCTAGTCAATCAATGTTGACACCATCATACCACTTAGCAACATGGTCTGGTTTTTTTATGCCAAAATGGGGGGATCTTTATATAACTTCCAAATGATATTACATTGCTGACAAACTACTGAGAATCATGGTCCCGTCAAGTGGACAGAATACAAAACTAGATAGCTGTTAAGAGAGGGTATACATATGAATAGCTTGGCGATTTTTAAGAATCACCTACAGATCTTGCTAAAATGTAGGGTCTCATTCAGTCTATCTACAATGGGAAGAAATTCTCAGCAGGGAGTTTTTACGGAAAGATCTGGTTTAACACCTTGAAAAACAATGAGAAGTAGGAGGGCACACTATGTTAATAGCTAAAATGTAATAGAACTGATAGTTATATTTTCATACAAAACAATAATCTTTTTCTCAACTTGGGATACCAACTAGTATGTGTATTCTATACAGCTACTTTGGAAGCAGGAGTGGCATTCACTTCCTCCAGAAACTACGAACTTTGCTAAATGTTTATAGTTGTAGAGGGGCTTCAGGCCTTTTGTTCATAGGGTTGCTATGAGTCATGCTCGACTCAAAGGCAATCAACAACAACACAACTTTCAAACAAAACAACATATAACAAGTAAGAATTACAGTTTTCTAGACTGAAGAGATTATCTAGTGCAGTTCGTTGAGTGCAACAACACATTACAGACTACACCACCAGAACTTCAAACTTGTTTACTTCTGACTGAAGTATGGGGTGGTGTGGTGACTTGCCTGCTATCACACTTGCTCAGTACTGCGGTAGGATCCAATCAATGATAATTCTGCAGGTTTTGCAATGGCACTACTGTAATGTATAAGCTAAATTCTCAACAGAAAAAATAGTGACCCTTGTCACTTTCCCTTTTAAGATCTCTAAATGTTTCTGAATCACACTGGGCTTCGATCCCAATCAGATTCTCACCTAGCCTCTTCATTAACACAGGGGTTCTCACACTTGAGCAAGACACTAGGGTCAGTGGGTGTCTGACTAAAACACAGACTGATGGGCCTTATCTAGCGTTTCTGATTGAGCAGGTGGAAACTTGGGCCCAAAATTTTTCAATTTTAACTAGTTCCCATGTGATCCTGCTGTTTCAGGGGTCCAACTTTATAACAACTGCCTTATCACAGAAGGAATGGACAAAAATCATAAGGCCTTGACTTGACTCTCAGCAAAATGGGGAGGTGGGGGATGAATCTGCTGTGCTTCAAGGTGTCTTTCAACTCTATTTTGTCATTTTTATGCATGTTCCAACACAGTACAAACCACTACATTCCTACAAGTTATCTACAAAATGCAATGTTCATCTCATTCTGATACCCTAACCCCTCACTAAGATTGACTTGGAAAAGCCTGGCAATCTACTACTGAACATGAGCCAGAGAAAACCCGATGGATCAAAGTGACCAAAATGATCATGTGGATGGCTCAGGACCAAGCGAGGGTTTGTTCCACTGTCTGGGGCCAAATCATTGGCAGTTAATAATAATCACTCACTCCCTGCTATCGGGTCGATTCAGACTCCAGTAACCCTCCAGCAAGTTTCAATGCCATTTTTACTCTTAGTGGAAAGAGACTGCATCTTTATGGCAAGGGCTTTGTGCCAGCCTTCTGGTTAACAGGTTAATGGGCTACCTATCATGCCACAGAAACCCCAACAATATTAAGGTCACAAAAAGATATGCAACCTTTCCCCTTTTATTTTTCATTGTTGGTGTTTCTTTCTCCAAAAAAAATATTCTAATGATTCAGGAAATAGGAGAAAAAAAATAATAGTGATAGTTTTAGGGATCAAATTAATAATAATGTAACTTAGAATATTCATCTGGATACATCTGATACACTGAATCATATACACCTAGGCATAACAACACACACACACACACACACACACACACACATATATACATATATATTTGAAGATACAAATTAGACTAGAGACTATTTTAAAGCTCTATAATTAGAAATGATGCTACTGACCTTTTGCAGATGTCATAAGTATTTTCTTTTTCTTCTTTAATGGCTACCTTTTCTGGAAATTTACACTGTTAAAGAGATTATGGTTAAATAAGTATGCGTATCCATGTATTTTATAAGCTATGTAGCACAGTGTTAGGATGGCACAGGATAGGACAGGGTTCAGATGTGTAGTTCACAGGGTTGTTATGGGTTGTACTTGACTCAACGGCATCCAACAATAACAACATGTGGCACAGTGGACTTACTAGCATCAGATGCTAATTCAACAACCAGTATATGGACAACCCTGGAAACAGTTCTAATGTGTATTATTTAAAATAGTTAACACTGACTTAAAAATTTCCACTTCTGCTTAGTTATAAAATTTAATAAACCAATTCATTTTTTTCATATTTTGATATCACATTTATATAAGCAACACTTTAAAATTATTGTTGATGAGTAAAACTGTTATCTTTCTTTTTTACTTGACAAAGGAGAAGCTTTCAGTAATTTTTTGCTTTAGGTATTACTTATGAACATAAAGGAAATTTATTTACTGTTGCTGTTAGGTGCCGTTGAGTCTTAAACAACTCATAGCGACCCTGTGAACAAAAGACCTGAACACTTGTATAACTTTCATTGTTTCTCCACATTCATAGAGTTTCTGGAGGCAAGCTACTTCAGAAGTGGATGCCACTCCTGCTTCCAAGCTTGTTTTTTTTTTAAAATATTTTAATTTATTTATTTTTCATTTCATTGAACATCTACAGAGATTTTGGAA